TCCCGGTTGATGCCACCAACTGGGACTAAAGAGGGGCATTGGTCCCGGTTGGAGCCACCAACCGGTACCAATGGACCTGTCTAATTACTTATTTATTTTCTGCAGCTGTTTTTAGTTGATTCTTTCTGCAGCTGTTTTTTTAGTCCCACGTCGCCAAGCGAGAGGCACTCGCAGCTGTTTATAAGCCCTGAGTGCAGAGACGATGAAGAAGAGGCTCAATGCTCACCTGCACGTTGGTTCGCTTCAAGCCTTGAGGAATAGGGTAGACTGCACGGAGCTATGTGCAGTGCAGTTTACATATTCCGAAAGGCTTGAAGCGAATTAACTAGCATTGCGCCTCTTTTTTATTTTTAATGACTTATTACCACACAGAAATAAATAGAAAAAATAAATATAGCAGAAAAGAAAAAAAACTATATAAAAAACTACTCAGAAACAAATAGAAGAATAAATAGTTGTGATTAACTTTACTAAAATCTTTTTTATTTTTGATGACTTATTACAACTCAAAAATAAATAGAAAAAAAATAAATATAGCAGAAAAGAAAAAAATATATAAAAAACTACTCAGAAATAAATAGAACAAAAAATAGTTGTGATTAACTTTACTAAAAAAATGAGCATAGATGCTTATTTTTAATGACTTATTACCACACCGAAATAAATAGAAAAAAAATAAATATAGCAGAAAAGAAAAAAAACTATATAAAAAACTACTCAGAAATAAATAGAAGAAAAAATAGTTGTGATTAACTTTACTTCAATCTTTTTTATTTTTAATGACTTACTACAACTCAGAAATAAATAGAAAAAATAAATATAGCAGAAAAGGAAAAAAATATAAAAAACTACTCAGAAATAAATAGAAGAAAAAATAATTGTGATTAACTTTACTAAAAAAATGAGCATAGATGCTTATTTTTAATGACTTATTACCACACAGAAATAAATAGAAAAAAATAAATATAGCAGAAAAGAAAAAAAACTATATAAAAAACTACTCAGAAATAAATAGAAGAAAAAATAGTTATGATTAACTTTACTAAAATCTTTTTTATTTTTAATGACTTATTACAACTCGGAAATAAATAGAAAAAAATAAATATAGCGGAAAAGAAAAAAACTATATAAAAAACTACTCAGAAATAAATAGAAGAAAAAGTAGTTGTGATTAACTTTACTAAAAAATGTGCATAGATGCGCTTATAGAGAAAATTCAACCTAAATTCATAATAAATTTCTACTAACTTCAGAGAAATTCAGTATGAATTTAGGTCAAATTTCCTGTATAAGGGCATCTATTTTTATTTTGAGAGGAGCTCAACAAGGCAGAGAGGGAGGGGCTTATAAACCAGTGTGATCCCCCTTCGGTTGGCGAGGTGGGACGAAACTCTGGCCGCAACGAGGACCAACCCTTTAGTCCCGGTTGGTGGCACGAACCGGGACTAAAGGGAAGCCATTGGTCCCGGTTCAGGCCACCAACCGGGACCAATGGTAGTGGGCCAGGAGCGAGGCCCTTTAGTCCCGGTTCGTCCCTCCAACCGGGACCAAAAGGCCCAGACAAACCGGGACCAATGGCCCACGTGGCCCGGCCGGCCCCCGGGGCTCACGAACCGGGTCCAATGCCCCCATTGGTCCCAGTTCTGGATTGAACCGGGACTAATGGGCTGACCTGGCCTGGACCATTGCCCCATTTTCTACTAGTGGACGTCTTCACTGCGCCGCCCGTGAGGCATCAATGGAGGCTGACCGGCGCGGCAGCACGGCAGCCTTCGCATTGATTACCACGGGAACCGAGGCGATGAGGTCGATGAAGCGGCCGTGTTGCTGACTCGGCGGGCCCACGGTTGTTTCACGCCAAAACGCTCGCCCCAGCGCCCCCGAGCGCCCCCCGGCGCGTCGGGTTCGGCCTGGGTCCGCAAGGCTAAATTCGGCCAAAGCCGGGAAAAAGGTCTCCTGGGGGCGCGACTGGGCCGTTTTTTCGGCACCGGCGGAGAAAAATCGCCTGGGAAGGTCGTTCTGGGGGCGCGGCTGGAGATGCTCTTAATAAGCTGAACCCAGGGTACGTCCCAATTGTTGTAAAACTTATGAAGAAATTTGAGTAGAAGTGCATCCCCTTGTATTCGAAGATCAATGACTCCCAAGCCTCCACTTGCTTTGGGCTTGCACACCATATCCCAAGAAGCCAAGGAATTGCATTTGTCGCCCTGATCCTTTTTTTGGTCCACATGCACTTTTGATTTATCTTGTCCAGCCACTCAATGATTTTGGTTGGTAAATGCAAAGTGCATAGGGCAAAGATGACCAGGGAGGTAATCACTGAGTTGAGAAGAGAGAGCTTTCCACCGTAGGAGATCATATTAAGGGTAGCAGATAGCCTTCTTTCAACCATGCATACTAGGGGCATAAGATCTTGAACGGTGGGCCGTGTTGTTCCCAGTGGCAGCCCCAGGTATGTAAACGGCATTTTTCCACTGACACGTCCAAAAATGCGCGCCAACTGATCACAACGTTCCATAGCACAGTTGATGGGAATGATGGTTGACTTATGGAAGTTGATTTTCAGCCCAACGGAGGTTGTGAAATCAGTTAAGATGATTTTCAGAACCAAAGCTTGCTGCGGCAGGCTGGGAGCACAAGTATGGTGTCGTCAACGTATTGTATGACTGGATAATCTTTTTGGTTGCGTGCGGGAAAAGGCAGTTGAATCTCATTGCGCACAAAAGCATCATTAATGGCCGCTTGGAGGAGGTCAGTTGTGAGGACAAAAATAAGAGGGGATAGCGGATCACCTTGTCTTACCCCGCATTTACAGTGAAATTGCCGTCCCGGGGTGCCATTAAGGAGGACAGAGGATTTGCCCAAGGAGAAAATGCATCTTATCCATTTCAACCATTTGTCATTGAAGCCCATACTTGCCATAATTTCAATCATTGCTTCATGTTTGATGGTATCAAACGCCTTGGCAAAGTCTAACTTTAGAAGAATGATTTCCTTTTTTGAAGATTGACATTCATAAATATATTCGTATGCCCAAGCGAGGCAATCTTGAATGGATCTCCCCTTGAGAAAACCATATTGGTTGCGATGTATTATCTTTAAGATAACCTTTTGCACGAGGTTTGCCAAGATTTTTATGACAACTTTCAGACAACAGTTAAGCAAAGTGATCGGTTGGAAGTCATTAACTGAGGCTGGTGAATTTATCTTAGGGATTAGAGTAATGAATCCATCATTAATACTCTCCAGGTTAAGACCGCCCTCATGGAATTGATTGCAAAGTCGATAAAAGTCTTCTTTGATGATGGGCCACCAACGTTTCAAGAAAACTCTGGTGAAACCATCCGGACCAGGTGCTCGATCCGCTGGCATTTCCATAATGACCCGATCAATCTCATCATGCGTGAATGGGAGGGTAAGTTGATCAAGACCCTCAATTTTCTTAATGGTACGGGACAAGTCAAGACTCTCAGAGGCTAGGGCTTGAAAAAAAAATTGAATTCTCGTCTCCAAATTTGACCCATCTCACCGTGCAACGTTTCTTCCAGTAGAGCTACTGGTATTTAAGGAGTCTCAATATGTGAGCTTTCAATATTTTTCTAAAGTTGCCTTCTGGAATTGATAAAATTCTTTTGTTTTCAAGTTCATTAAGGGCTTTGTTAGAGTTTGCAATGGCCACTGAAAGTTTGGATATCCCTTTACTCCAATGCTTGAGATCACGTCATAGGTTCTTGAGCTTTCGAGAGAGGACAGTGGCATACTTTGTTGATTTGACCTGCTTAGCCCATGATTTTGCCACAGTTTCCATGAACCCAGGATGATGAATCCAGTATGTTTCAAATCTGAAAAGCTTACATTTGGGGATAGTCGTTTCAATAGTGACCACACAAGGAGTATCGTCCGAAACAGGTTTTACCATGGTTTTGGGATATGTGGTAGTCCAGTTATTGCTGGTGAAGAACCAATCTAGTTGTTCGAGTAGTGGATCTACCTGCATATTGCTCCAGGTGAAAGAACGTCCCTTATTTGGCAATTCAATGAGACTCTGTGTTCTTATGAAATCATTGAATGTTACCATATCATTAACATTACCCCCAGGTTTATTACGATTATCAAGTGCACGGATGAAGTTAATGTCGCCCACAAATAACCAATCCTCATGAGAAGGGATATCAATATCGAATAGCCACTGAGTGAATTTTTTACGTTGCTCTCCTTGGCAAGGCCCATAAATATTGACCAGTGTCCAGCGTTGTGCAGATTGCGTTGAAGTAGATTTATTGTATCTGCCCGTTTGGATCTTTTTATATTGGTATAGAGAGAAATGGAACGTTTATCTCTTACTAGTAAATATATATGTGCAATGCATGTTGATATTAGGCAGTATATTAATTGCACGTAGATATTAGATAGGATATTATTTGCGTGTTAATTATGTGATTAGCGCTAGAATTAATACTTGGTATGATATTAACTGTACGTAAACGTGTTGAGCGCTCGCCATTGGAGCAAGCTGGGTCGTCGGATTGACCTGGTTTGACGGTCAAGATTTATTGTATCTGCCCATTTGGTTTTTTTATATTGGTATAGATAACAAGAATAAATGCGGTGGGCCGGTTGAATTTTCTATCCAAACATACTACGGAGTACATTGCTGTGTAGCCATCATGAAGCCGCTGAGCCAGGATCAAAAGCGAATATTCGCCAGCACCATGCTTTTCTCTCCTTCACCTACAAGGTGAGTTGGGTTGTTTCACTTTTTCCACCCATCACTACATCTCGCCTCATACTCCGGTTTTCAACAGAAAAAAGAAAAACTCTCTCATCTGATAGCCTCCGGGTGGTGCTCCTCAAAGTTGAGATTTCCTTGGTAATATTTCTTTCCTTTTTGTCTTGAGCTTTCTTTCTCATGGATGCGGACAATTAGAAAAATATTAATTAACATCTTATTCTTACATGAGGCAGAGATGGATGTTCTGGTATACTAGTTCTTGGTCAAGATGGAGGATCTAGATGCTGCATCTGCATCCGCTCTGGCGGCCATAGCGGATCCTGATGACGCTTCTGTTGAAGCAGCGATGCAAGCTCCGGTTACTGTTGGGCTGGGACCCGTCGGCCCCCTCCTCCGGAAACTCCATCGACAGAGTCGGGCGCCAGATCTGCTAAGTGCGAAACAGGTTCGTCTTCTCAAGATTTTATGCATCTGGCTGAAGGGTATGTCGGAAGAGGAGGAGGCTAGCTGCCTGGTCCAGTGGTGGATGAAGATGGCTCGGGAACTTTGTTATGACACGGATGATCACCTGGACAAGCTTATCGCCACCGGCTCTCGTGCTGCCGACTCAAGATTACTTGCTCGTGTCAATGCTGCGTGTGAAAGACACCTGCGTTTCAAGTTATCTCCTACAAAGAATATCAAACCAGGTGACCGGGGGGAGACCTCCCTCGAGCTGCCGCCAGTTCCTCTCCCTGTCCATAATCTGGAGCCGCCAAAGAATCTTGTCGAGATGCTGGCATTAGACGACGCCGAGAACACACTCAAGGTGATACCTATACATGGATGTGCAGGTACAATCTATCTATCTTCATCTCGAATTTCATGTATTTTTTTCCTGCTCTATTTCATGTTTTTCATGTCCTTTTACCTGCCCTACCAGTACAACATTATCAGGTTTTCTTCTTTTTTGCAGGTGTTGGAAAGACAACAGCTGCCAGAGCTTTGTATCACAAGCATGCAGGGAAATTTCAGTGCCGTGCTTTTGTAACTGTGTCCCGCAATCCAGATATGAGGGGGTTTCTCACCAGCATGCTCAAACAACTCAAGGCACAACGGCCAGGTCGTTTTCCTGATGTACCGGACCTTATCGATGCTATCAACAAATATCTCCAAGGCAAAAGGTAATCTCTACTGTTTGAAGATTACCCCGGACCATTCAAGTCGAAATCTCACTTCCATTTACCCATCGTGAGGCGTCCCAAGTAATGCATCAAAGGCATGGATATGAGTTCTCAATCCTTTCTATCAGTGCCGAGCTAGTCACATCACATCCCATCTACACACACTCCACCTTCTCTTGTCCTCTGACATAACTTGGTTAAGACCAGTGTAATGAACCTATTAATATGCATCAACACAAACATAGCAAAGGTTCCTGCCAGGTGCCATGTATGATGCTCACTTTTACTAATACCTGTTCAGGTGGGCGATCACCCTTTGTTGTTGGCGTCAATTTTCTTTTTAAATTCTAATACATTACAAAAAATGTATGCATCTTTCTGATTCAGAGGCCGGGGAGTCCCCCCTTTTCGAAAAAAAAAGAAAAAAAAAGCTCAGATGATAAAGAATGGAATAATTGCTACCTAGTTACTCTACAAACTCTCAGCCACAATGCAGACTACTCACGCTTCATCGTGGTAAAAGCATACATAGTGTCGATGGTTGATATGAAGACTAAATAATATTTGATCTAAAAAATGCAACCTTCAGAAGTACACAAGCCGCTGTGGTCGGGAAGTTTAGTGTGGTCTCATCGACTTGCATCAGTCATACGCCCTTCCTTGCGATTCGAAGCATACGAGTCATCAAGACTCTTTTTTGGCGCCGTTGCCGGGGAGTGAAGCGCCTTTGGTAGGTGGAATTGCGGACGTACCAAAGCTCCCCCC